GCTCGCGCTCCGCAGCCGTCAGGAATGCCCGTATGTGCGAGTTGCACGTCTGCAGATAATCCAACCCCACCCGACGTCGCGCCAACCGCGCAGGATCGACGGCGGAAGTAGTTCCGAGGACAAGCCCAGGGTCACCGTGGAAATCGGCGGGTCCAAGATCCGCGCCGCCACTGAATACGCTGTAACCTGAGCCCGAGTAGCCGCGAAACGTCGCATTTGCAGCTTTGAGACACGCGAGCGATTGACGGTCTTCGCGGTCGAGGTTGACTAATTCATCCGGAACCTGACCGTTGAAGCCAAAATCTTCAGGGGGGCCGAATCGAACGCTTTGGCCGTCGTACAGATTGAGGACAGTCGGGTCGACGGAATCCGGTTTCTTGCAACTGCCACAAGTGAAAACACGGCAAAAGTTACCATCGTCGTCACTGTCGGGACGGCAGAGAAACACGTCATCGAGCCCGACTTCGCACCGGTCTGCGAGGCCCTGTATGTGGGACGAAAACACGGGCCAGGCACGACAGTCCTCGCGGCTGCCAACTCGACGGTTCTTGATCGTTTCACAATATGGCTGGTACATGGTGACACCGCAACTGTAGCAGACATAACACGGCAACTGTTGAAACTTTTGCAAACATTTCGAAATCTGCGATTTGTACTCACGAATCTGGTCGACGTGAGTTTCCACATGGGACGACCCGGTCGAATCCAACAATCCGCTAGTCATCGCGATGTGTTCCGGCGCGCGCGGACGAGTGTTCCCAAGGCCCTGTGATTGAAGATGCACGGCCTGGGCAAGCGTGCCGGCACCAGCGAGAGAAGAATGTCCGGGCGCGCACGCCCGCTTGACGACTACGCGCCCAAGCGCGTCGGCCACGCGGAGCCACGCGTCGACCCCACGAAGACCACGTAGCGGCGTCACCGCAGCGGACGACAGGTGCAAGCCCACACACGTCCGGCAAAAGTCTTGCTTGGTCATGACCTCAGAGCGCACAATCCAAATCGACGGAGGTTCGACTGATAGCTCCGCGGCCTCCTGGATCACTTCGAAGACACGCTCGTTTACTAGCAAGCCGCGGTGAAGCTCATCACGCTCGACATCGTCGGAGGGGACCTCGACGACCCAGAACCGACAGGCATCCTCGTCGGAACGCGGATCGGAGCAACAAAACATCACCTCATCGCGTCGATTGAAGAGGTCCACTTGCTCGAGGGTGGCGTCTCCGTCGACGTCATCGGTATCGTCGCCGCGAGTAGATGGGAAGCACAACTTGACAGGGTTGGCCAGAAGTTGGTCGACGATTTGCAGCTCGACGCGAGCCAGCACACGCCGAGGGTCGTCGCAGGCGGGCGCAAAACACGGGATCGCCTTTCGCTGCACCACCGTCCGAAGGTGCACGCGAATCGCATCGCACAACTCGGACACGCTCATATCGCGACGCAAGTCGATGAACGTCATGTACACGAACGGTATCAGACAGGCCGGCAACGGTGACGCCGCGGGCAGAACCTCGTCCGCACAGCGCAACATCGACCCCACGAGCGTAAAGTCCCACGCGTGAGCGATCCGTCCCTGCGTGCAGTCGGCGCTGTACACGAGGCCGGTAGGTAACGCGGCGTGAGCATCGAGGAGCGTCGTCCACGACGTGTAGCTAAACACGAGTTGGGGCGCCCCGTCCGTCGCGCGCAGCCACGGAAACGGGCCGGTACCGTCGCGAGCCGTGACGCCGAGCGCCCGCTCGGGTACAGGCGCTCGCCGAACATACGCCGCCGAAGCATCAGGACGCGACGCAGCGTGTTCGACACGGCGAGGCATCGCCGGCGTAGCGCGTGCTGCTTCGACATCAGACTCGGAGTGGACATTGCGGCGGCACGCTTGTTCGAGAGCTAGATCGGTTGCTATGGGGTCGATGGAGACACACAAAGAAGCCAGATGCTCGCGATCGTGTACGCCAGCGAACGTAGCAGCGTCCACGGCGAGCTTTGTCGGGGAAAAATCGAACCGATGGGCGACGAGCCTCACGCGCTCGACCACAGATCGTAACAAAAGCAGCGCGTCGAGGCGGTCACAAACGACGGGCCAATCGTCGACATCACGGACGTAATCGAACAGCGTATGACAAATAGCGTCCAAATAGTGCGCAAAGTAACTCGCAAAATCTATATGCCGGCACAACTGTTCCAAGAGGAAATCCATCACGACTCTTGGGCACACGCCATGCAGCTCCGCGTCGAGCGCTTGAGCCAAACACATTTGCGCCTTGTCAGCGAAATCGGCGTGCCTTTGGGCAGCACGCGGCCGAGCCCAGCAAGAATCGCGATTGGCCAGGCTGGTACAGGCATCGCAAAGTTCGCGGCGGTGTCGTCCTGCGTGAGGCGGCATCGCAGACGCGGGATCACCAGAACATGGTCGAAGGACAATTTCGTCGCGCGCTGCAGCGAGCGCAGCGTTGACAGGCAAGCGACCGTGGTAGTTGGCGACTACTGCAGCAAAGGCGTCGGGTACAGCAGCGCGTGTGATGACGTCGCCACGCGAGGCCGCTGGAAGCGCGTCGTCGAGTCTGGACGCTAGACCATCGGCTGCACGATGGAGCGCCGTAGCGGTCCAGCAGGCAGACCGCCATCGTCGCCGCCGGGGTATAGAGTAGATTTCAGGCGAAGGCTTCGTCGAAGCATCGCGCGGCCAGCGACTAGAGCCGGCAAGCAGCGCGTGTGCGAGCAAACGTCCCCCCTCTCGGCCGCGCTCGAGCTGGATTGCAAGAAGTATCTCGCTCGGGAAATCTGGATGAAGTTGGATCGTCGGCCACGGCCGATCGCGAAAGTAAAGGCATACGGGACTGGCCGGGCCAGCGAGCTCAGCGAGCCGCTCCCGCACGTCGCGCGACTTGAAGCGACCGGGCCGCATCGTGCTCGCGATCTGAGCAGCGATTGCAGTCATCGACTCATCAGGAAGTTTCACGCGCTCGCGAAGAAAATACGACAACAACTCGAGGTCGTCCGCGACGCTCCACACTCGACTCGCACGCTTGACGCGCTGAAAGGCGTCGAGAAACGGCAGCACGAGACCCGGCTGCTCGAGAGCGAACGGATCGAGCCGGATGTCCTTACGAGATCGACAAAAGAGCGAACATGCTCGTCGAAACCGACCAGAGAATCGTATCGCACGTCGAGCTCGTCGCCCAACAGCTCAGGCAACAGCGACTTCGGTAAGAAATAGTAACGGAGGTGCGACGCCCGCAGCTCCCAAATGCGAGCTTGAACCTCGGCTGCCGAAAAACGGCCGACCCTTAGCGACGACAGATCAGTCTGGTCCGCGGTCAGCAAAAAGAGCAAATAGCGAGCGAGCAGTTCGAGGTCGTCTCGTCCGGACCACGTTCCACGGCCCGGATTAGCCGCGTGCCCGCGTAGCTCAGCGACGACGTGGTGATGACGCGCAAACGCCCGGTTGAACGCCCACGCGTAACGCTTGTCGCACGACGACGCGACATCTCGCACGACGGCGATGAACGCGGGGACCTTGGCCACGTCGAAAGACTGCGGAACCTCCGCCTCGAGCGGCAAGTAATGGCGCAGATCGGAGCGCCGGAGCTCGTCGAGCCGCGCAACGATGCGATCCACCGGAAAGATGCCAATTCGGAGCGACGCAAGGCGGTCGTCTTTAGGCGCAAGAAGATGCTCCAGGTAGCCAACGAGGAGCTCGAGATCTTGACAGCGCGTCCAGCCGCCGACGTCGTCTCCAGCCGCGTAATCGCGCAGCATGTGCTCTAAGTCCGCGTCCAGCAAAAGCGCGCGTCTGAATGCCGACTCGTAATAGACGATACGTCTCATTTCGCACGCGACGGTCGCGGCCTTGCTAAGCGCGGCTTTCGGCAGCAAGAAAAACGTCTGCAAAGAAAGCAGAGTCCCATGTTCGTCGCACATGGGCTTTGTAAACGACAAAGTGAGAGGCTGCACACGGGACGAGAGCCACCGGACGACATCAGCAAGGCCGCGCTCGTCAGGAGCAGGCAAAAGTAGAGAGCTCGATGCTGGCATCGTCGCGTAGCGAACGAGCCAGTCGCCCACGGCGACGTCCGACGATTTCGCCCGCGACCCAGGATGCAACGTCTTGACGCGCACGCACCAGCAACCGCCGAAGGCCGCAATCCGCGCGACCTCGAGCTCGATGCCGTGCGCACCGACGCCGACGTCGACTTGCACGTCGGCTGTACGCTTGATTGCGAGCAACCGATCTCGTACTTGAGCATAGGTTTTGTTGGAGCCATCGGCGTTGGAAATCGCGAAGCGATTCACCGGGAAGCAATCCGATTCGTGTGCATGTTGCGCGTACGACGCAAGAAGCGTAATATCCTGCGCAGCCGTCCAGCAACGGGCAGATCGCACGTTGGCCGCAAAGGCGCGCAGCTCGTGGAGAAATGCGTGACGATCCGCGACGGCCCGTGAACACGCGGTCTTCGCCGGGTCAGCCAGCAGCGTCGGACGAAAAAAGTCGAGCGCGGCGACGACCCGCAGCTCGGACGGCGGCGCGTGCGCAGACTCGCGCTGCGCCGATGCAGGATGCGGCGCACTAGCACAAGATAGATCTAAGCGAGCATGGGGGACGACGGAGATCGACGACTGCACGTTCTTCTTGTCGGCGGACGATGCCAGCTTCGATGATGCCTCCTCTAATCGAGGGGCAGCGCCGGCGGTAGCGGCGCTGTCGATCGGAGATCGTGTGGCCATGGACGCACGCGCGGAGCGCGCGTCGGCGCTGGAGGGCCGAAGCCCTCGGGCCTAGACCAGAGAGGCGACCCAGAAGCGAACCTGCGCCTGCTCCCCACTATAGCTAAAAATAGAGCTTGCGAATATTTGACCAATATTTAGTCACGATCTACAAGCTTGCAGATACGTAGCCATAGGCAGCACAAAGCAAAAAGAACCTAGCTGGAAAGCGCACCCGACGAGCTCCCCCGGCGCGTCGGTCGACGAGCGTCGCCGGGCCGACGCGACCTCGCCCGGAAAGGTGCGACGAGAGTTAGGGCTCAGGGTGGGAGGACTCCTCGGTGTGCCGGACGCTACTCGCGGGGATCGCAAGCGTCTCACGCCGGGTTGAGTTTCGGCGCCTAGGCGCCGCAGGAGAGGCACTCGTGCTCCTCCGCCTCCTGGCCGTTGGCGAGTTCGAGCGCGGCGCCGCCACGGCTCTTGGCCGCCATGGCCTGGTCCACAGTGAAGGCGATGGCGTCGGCCTTGGGCCGCGTGCGGAGGTAGTACATGCCCGTCTTGAGGCCCTTCTTCCAGGCGTAGAAATGCATGGACGTGAGCTTGCCCGGGTTCGGGTCCGCGACGTGCAAATTCAGCGACTGCGACTGGCAGATGAACGCGCCGCGGTCCGCGGACATGTCCAGCACACACTTCTGCTTGATCTCCCACGTCGTCTTGTAGAGCGCCTTGAGATCGTCGGGGATGGCGAGAACGCCCTGGACAGAGCCCTTGTCCGCAATGATCTGGTTCCGGATCTCGGACGTCCACAAGCCAAGCGCGATGAGGTCCCGGAGGAGGTACTTGTTGACGACAGCGAACTCGCCCGCGAGCACGCGCCGCGTGTACATGTTCGACGTGAAGGGCTCGAAGGACTCGTTGTTGCCGAGGATCTGCGCCGTCGACGCCGTGGGCATGGGCGCGAGGAGGAGCGAGTTGCGGCAGCCGTGCTCGCCGAGGCGCGCGCGCAACCCCTCCCAGTCCCAGCGGTCCGACGGCTTCACGTTCCACAGGTCGAACTGGAAGAGGCCCTGGGACGTCGGCGACCCCGCGTAGGAGTCGTAGGGGCCGAGCTCCTGGGCCAGGTCGATGGACGCCTCCATGGCGCCGAAGTAGATGGTCTCGAAGACGTCCCTGTTGATCCGCTTCGCATCGTCGGACTCGTAGGGGTGGCGCAGCTTCGCAAGGGCGTCGGCCATGCCCTGGACGCCGATGCCGACGGGCCGGTGCTTCAGGTTCGACGACTTGGCCTCCTCCACCGGATAGTAGTTGACGTCGACAACTTTGTTGAGGTTTTTCGTCACGACGTAGGCCGTGCGCTTGAGCTTGGCGAAATCGAATGTCGCGGCGTCGCCGGCGCCATCGACGTGGACCGTGAGGTTGATGGACGCCAGGGTGCAAACCGCGATCTCGTCGGAGGCCGTGTACTCGACAATCTCGGTGCACAGGTTCGACGACTTGATCGTGCCCAAATGCTTCTGGTTCGACTTGTCGTTGCAGGCGTCCTTGTAGAGCATGTAGGGCGTGCCCGTCTCGACCTGGCTGTCGAGGATGGCGAACCAGAGCTGCTGCGCGGGGATGGCCTTGCGCGCGCGGCCCTCGGCCTCGTAGCGCTCGTAGAGGGCCTCGAACTCGGCGCCGTGGCAGTCCGCGAGGCCCGGGCACTCGTTGGGGCACATGAGGGACCAGAACCCGTTAGCCTCGACGCGCTTCATGAACAGGTCCGGGATCCAGAGGCCGTAGAAGAGATCGCGCGCTCGCTCGAGCTCGTTGCCGTGGTTCTTCTTGAGGTCGAGCCACGTCTCGATGTCCGCGTGCCAGGGCTCGAGGTAGATGGCGAAGGAGCCCTTGCGCCTGCCGCCGCCCTGGTCCACGTAGCGCGCCGTATCGTTGTAGACGCGGAGCATGGGCACGATGCCGTTCGACGTGCCGTTGGACCCGCAAATGTAGGAGTCCGTCGCACGGATATTGTGGACCGACAGGCCGATGCCGCCCGCGTACTTGGAGATGGCCGCGCAGCGCTTGAGCGTGTCGTAGATGCCCTCGATGGAGTCCTCCTTCATGGCCAACAGGAAGCACGACGACAGCTGCGGCCGCGGCGTGCCGGCGTTGAAGAGCGTCGGCGTCGCGTGCGTGAACATCTTCTGCGACATCATCTCATAGGTCTCCAGCGCGGCCGCCAGGTCATCGCCGTGGATGCCCAGCGCGACGCGCATGATCATGTGCTGAGGCCGCTCCGCGATCGCACCGTCGAGGCGCATGAGGTAGCTCCGCTCGAGCGTCTTGAACCCGAAATAGTCGTACTCGAAGTCGCGCTCGTAGACGATGGCCGCGTTGATCGCGTCCTTGTGCTTCTGCACCGTGGCGTAAGTCTCGTCGGAAATCAGCGCCGCGGGCTTCTTCGTCTTGGGGTGCATGTGCTTGTGGAGCTTCTCGACGACGTCGGAGAACGTGTTGTCCGTCGACTTGTGCAGGTTCGACACGGAGATGCGCGCGGCGAGCACGGAGAAGTCGGGGTGCTGCGTCGCCATGTAGGCCGTCGTCTGCGCCGCGAGCTCGTCGAGCTCGTGCGTCGTCACGCCGTCGTAGACGCCCTGGATCACCTTCTGCGTGATCTGGTTCGGCTTGATGTACTTGGCGTCGAGGCCGTAGCAGAGCTTCTGAATGCGGCTCGTGATCTTGTCGTAGCGCACGGTCTCCTTCTTGCCGTTGCGCTTCACGACCTGCATGTCGTCGTCCGCGGACATCGCACGGCCGCGCTCGCCGAGGGGCCTGCGGAGCGGCGGGCGGTCGGGGCACGACGAGGGAGGCGTCGCTCGGTGTGAATGTCGAGCGCGTGTTTGACCGCGTCGTGGAGCGCGAGGCCACGTGGCGGCACGCGAGTGCGCGGCGGCGGCGCGCGCGGGCGTCCGACCGAGTGGAGTTCGGGTCGTTGGGTGTGTTGCGGCGCGGACGGCGGTGTTTGGCGCGCGTCGAGCGCAGCGCGCGTGGCGGACGCAGCGCGCGGAGCCCAGTCACAGACGCTAGCACAGTTGTCACCCCGGACGATACGAGGCTCTTGAGCGGCGAGGAGGGCGGCGACCGTGATTAGAGGGCAGGAGCTGCCCCGTACGAATAAGCTTCGCACGAAAAGCGGGACGTTTAAGAGTGTAACTTCGACCTCGGCCGAGGACAAGCACGGAAGGAAAAGCATGGTAGGCGTCGACGGAGGGCCACCGATGGTCCGGGAGGATCGGCGAAAACTATGAAGGTACCGTGCTGAAGTGATGCACTCCCGCGCAGTGGGCGGTCCGCCACTGCGAGGAGGAAACTTTCGTAGGCACGAAAGCATTAGGTGGGAATTCAAAGCCAGCGTTGACGCAACGATAAAAGTTGGGCAGCATGGCCGCGTAATCCCAGCGGCGGGTTCGTCGCGGCTGGCCGCTCAAAGCAACACGAGAGGATGGTCCTGCCGTGCTGGGACGAGACGGACAACGGCGTGCCGGACTTTTGCCTCGAGAACGAGCTCTGTCCCTTCCACCCGCATAACCCCTACACGAACGACAACTGCGTCTGCCACGTCTTTGGGAACATCGGCTGGCAGTACTTTGACCACACGCGGAAGCGCTGGATGGGCCTGGCCATGTGGAGCACGTTGCTCGCCATGTTCGTGACGACCTACGGCGCGCTGTCGTTGTCGAGCGACCAGCGGATCGTGCGCGTCGCGTACTGGCTCCGCATGGACACGAGCTACGCGGAGGTCTACGTGAACGGCACGCTCGTCGACGACGACGGCGCGCTACTCAACGGGACCGTGGACACGCTCGGCGACGGCGCGCGGGCGTTCCTCGGATTGTGCGCCATCGTCACGGTCCACGACGGCGAGATCACGCGCGACAAGTGGGACCACAACTACATGATCGGCTCCATCAACCGCAAGTCGAAGGAATCGCCCGTGCAGCGGCTCCAGGACGAGGTGCTGGACGAGTGCCGCGCGTCCATGGAGGGCATCCAGATCGGCGCGCTCCTGGGCTGCGTGACGCTCATCTTCGGATTGGTCGGCACGATCAACCGCATGCGCTTCGCGAGCGACGCGAACGTCCAGAAGGGGTTGGGGCTCATCACGGACACCTGGGGCGCCCTGGCGCTGGGCTACACGCTCCTGAACTTCTCGAGCCAGTGCTACTGGGACCTGCCGCCGTCGTACCGCGACGGCGCGACGAAGTACGACTTGGAGTACGCCTTCGGCCCCGGCTTCTACTGCTACGTCTTCTGCGCGGGCTCCGGTCTGATCCGCGCGGCGGCGCACTGGCTCACGCCGACGCCGGGCAACGGCTCCGGCGCCTGCAAGGCCGGGCTGCCGGAGTATCTGCTCGTGGGCACGCGGCACCACGCGGACTTCGACGAAGCGCCCAAGGACGCGGAGCCGGCGCCCGCCGCCGTCCTCGAGGAGCCGACGCCGTCGACGCCGGGCCGCCTCACGCCGCGGCGCGCGTCGAAGCGCATCTCCATGGCCTGGGGCGCGGGCGACGCGCCGCTCGGCACCGAGACGCCGCTGACGTGGGCCGAGGCGCGCGCGATCTGCCGCGAGCGCCGCGACTCCATCAAGGAGCTCCGCACGGCGCCGTCGCGCGCCGAGCGGTCGCCCATGCGCCGCCTCGCGAGCCGCGGCGCCTACTCGCCGGAGTTCGCCGCGGCCGTCGCGGAGGCGCGGCTCTCGGGGACGCCGCGGGACAAGCTCGCGCGCCGCCGCTCGTCGCCGCCGGGCTCGCGGTCGCCGCCGGACCGCCTCTCGACCATCGCCTCCGTCGCGTCGCTCTACTCCGAGGAGTTCCCGCCGGCGAGGACCGAGTCGGACCCGCTGCCCGCGCCGCCGCCGACGCCGACGCCGGACCGCGCGCGCGCCGCGTCCGACGGACCGCCGCCCGGGCCGAGCCCCGACCGCGAGGCGTCGGACCTCGAGCTCGCGGGCGTCGCGCCGCTGTCGCCGCCGCCGCCGCCGTCGCGGGCCGCCTCGAGCCCCGTCGACCTCGGCTCGTCGCGGCGGCGCCTGAGCATCTAACTTCTCGAACGGCAGCATCAAGGGCAAGGTCGGTGTAATCCTCGCGAAGCGCCGGATGTAAGACGACCCGGCTCGGTGATGTGATTCGCTGAGCTCGCACCACAAACCACTCGAATGCTGGCAGCCCAAACCACACACCATTGTGGCTGAGAACGCGCGCCGAACGTGCTGCTGCCGTCTCGCGGCCCCCAAACCACACATCAATTGTCGATTTTTGATGCCTCCAAACCACACACCATTCGTTTTCAACAGCTCAAACCACACACCAAACATCAACGATCCGGGCCTTATGTAAGATGGTGCATTACGGCTGCGCTGCCCACATGTGATGGTGCATTGCGGACCGTCCCGCGGTTCGGTCCCCATGGCGCTGCCGCGCGCACTCCTCTGGTCGCTCGTCGCGACGCGGGCCGGCGCCAACGACGCCTTCTTCGAGAGCCAGAGCGGCGCCTGCGGCACCGTCGTGACGTGGTCGTCCTACCACAATCGCTGGTCCAACGTCTGCGACGACTCCTGGGGCGTCGACGACGCGACGGTCTTCTGCCGCGACGCCTTCGGCGCGAACTACGTCGCGAGCAGCGCGCCGTGCTGCAGCCCCTACGGCGCGGGCAGTTACGGATTCTACTTCGACGACGTCGCGTGCGCGGGCACGGAGGACGACCTCGACGCCTGCACCCACTCGACGAGCCACAACTGCGGCTCGTCCGAGTACGCCGGCGCCTGCTGCGAGGCCGTCGGGCCGGCGGCGTCGCCGACCGCGTCGCCGCCGGGCACGTTCACGGCGACGTCGAGCTGCGCGTCGTCCGCCGGCTGCGGCGCGACGGTGACGGTCCCGCTCGCGGGCGTGGACCTCTTCGCGAGCGCGACCCAGCGTCCCGCGGTCGTGACGACTTTCGAGAGCTTTTGACCGGGAAAACCAAGAAAAATCGTTACCGACGCACTCGCTAGGCGCCACCGTCAGCGCCACCGTCCGCGGCGACCTCGAGATCTCCGACGAGTACGTCGACGTGGCCGTCGCGTCGGCGTCGGCGACGCGGTGCTACGGCGGCCTCGCCGACTGCGACGCGACGTGGGCGGACTGCGTCGACGGCGTCGACGTGCTCGCGGACGTCGTCGCGTCGGGCTCCCTCAGCCTCTCGTTCGACGCGAGCGCGGCCGTCAACTACTGCGACGCCTACGTCGAGGTCCGCTACGTCTTCAAATTCGCCTGCGTCGCGGGGGCCGAGCCGACGGGCACGAAGTCGGTCGCGTTCGTCGACGGGGTGACGTCGTCGACGGTGTCCGCCCCGGGCTGCGAGGTCGTGGTTACGGCGCCGCCGACGACGACGGCCGCGCCGACGGCGACGTCGGCGCCGACGGCGTCGGCGGCGCCGACGACGTCCGCGCCGACGGCCGCGCCGAGCACGGCCGCGCCGAGCCACGCCTGCCGCGGCGTCGTCGATGCGAACGTCTGCTACGAGCCCGAGTTCCACGGCGACCCCGGGGCCTGGACCTTCGGCGACGCCGTCTCCGTCGAGGCGTCGCTGCGGTCGGACTCGGGCGACACGCTCCCGGGCGCGCGGACCTGGGACGTGTCGCTCTGGCGGTCGCCGGCGACCTTCGTCGCCCTCGTCGCCGACGGCGAAGTGAGCCCGAGCGACGGCGTCCTCGCGGCGTCCTACGTCGTCCCGGCGTCGCTCGAGGCCGCGTCCGACTACGCGCTTCGCGCCAAGGAGTACGCGACGGGCGCCGAGTGCGAGGGCGCGCTCTTCGCCATCGCGGCGACCTGGCCGCCGACGGCCGCGCCGACGGCGAGCCCGACGTCCGCGCCGTCGCGCGCGCCCGCGCCCGCGCCGACGCGCGCGCCGACGGCCGCGCCGACGGCGTCGCCGACGTCCGCGCCGTCCGCGCCGGGGCTGGTCGTCGCCGACGTGGAAGATCCCTGGTACGTCTACGGCGCCGTCGTGAACGTCACGTGGCGCTACACGGGCGCGCTCGCGTCCCTCGCGGGCGCGCCCGCGCGCGTCTACCTCGTCGCTCCCGACGGGTCCGAGGCGCTCGTCGCCTACGACGTGCCGAGCCCCTTCGCCTACGCCGTCGACGCGAGCGTCGCCGCGGCGAGCGGCTACGCGTTTAGGGTGGCGGACCTGGCCAACGGCGTCGAGGGGACCTCCCCCGGGACCTTTGCCGTCGCCGCGTCCGCGCCGCCGACGTTCTCGCTCCCGCCGACGCCCGCGCCGACGCCCGCGCCGACGACGCCCGCGCCGACGACGCCTTCTCCCAGCGTCGCGACGACGCCGAGCCCCGTGGCCGCGACGCCGCGGCCCACGTTCGGCGGCTGGGAGGGCGACCTGCTCGAGTCGTGCGCGAAGGAGTACGGCGTCGAGCGCTGCTACGCGTCCTCGTCTACGTGGATAAGCCCCATAGGCTACGTGGACTACGACGGACGCATGGTGCTGCGGAAGGCCGGCGACCTCGAGTACTGGGCGCTCGACGACCAGTGGACCCACTGCCAGTCGCTCTTCGCCGATTCCGCGGGCGAGAAGAAGTCGGAGATGCGGACCCGGGTCATGGAGAACGTGCGCGGCCACCTCAAGACGGGCCTCGCGAAGACCCACGAGATCGTCTGCAGCTCGGCGTCGGGCCTCACCTTCGCCGGCGCGATCTTGGTGGGCTTCGAGGCCGTGACGTTGCACGAGACGATGTGCTTCTCGCAGAAGACCTTTGAGGTCCGGTGCCCGTCCCTGACCGCCAGGGCCTTCACGCTCGGCCTCGGCATGCGCCTCGCCGGCACCGTGGATCCGCAGACCTACTGGACCTCCTGGGAGGACTTATACGGGACGGACGACACGTACCCGCTCGACTTCGCGTACGCGTGCACGCCGTCGCTGCACCTGACGCCCATCGTCGCCTT